TGTTCTGTTGTCGGTTTACTCAAGAACATGCGTTGAAATGGCTACAAGAAGACAGGGTATCACTTTATAAAATAAAATAATTCTAGTTTTTAAAATCGTAATGGTTAATAAAAAATTTTTTTTTTAAAATCGCCTAACAATGAATATACATTAACTTAAATTTTGATTTCAAAAATCATTTTCATAATTCAGAAAAGACTATTATTATTAGAAGGTGCATCATAATATAAATAAGAAGATGTGGTATGAGTGCGAATGAGACAACTCTCCATCCAAGTCAAAATGCATAAAAAGTTAACAATTATAGGTCAAAGTAAGGTCTTCAATACGGAACCTTGGCTCACACCGAACAGCAAGTTATCAAGGGCCCCAAAATGACTAGTGTTAAACAATTCAAACAGGAAAACTAACGGTCTAATCTATATAAAAAACGAGATACAAGAAACACTTATGAACCACACCAACAAACGACAACCACTGAACAACAGGCTCCTGACTTAGGACAGGTGCATAAAAATTCAACATATTTGGCTGGCTGATTATTTTGTATTTTAAAACATGCATTTATTTGTTTATTCAGGTTGCACTATAACAAATGATTCTTTTACATCTTATATACTTACTACAGATGACAGTATGTATAGTAAAACGCTGTTGTATTTTGAAAAAGTTTGGAAGTACACATTAGATTATTGCCCCTTTTTAGAATTTGGCGTTTACAACAGATCTTTGGTACCATTCATTGAATTCCCTTCGAAATATTTCTAGACTTACAAAGAGTTTATGCTTGCGACACACGCTGTTAGAAGACCGTACAGTAGTCTTTATTAGTAGAATTAGTTGAAATAGTATATACTGCTATATGTTACAACAGTATTTGTTGGATTCCTTGCCTGGTGTAATCGGTTGGAAGACGTATCAAAAGTGTGTTTTTTAATGCACAAATGTTAGTGTTATTTACAATCTAGCAGTGGATCTCGCTCAAGTCGGTGAGAGAAATCATGCACGTACAATATGGTGCTATATTAGGCTCCGCATTGAAGGCCTGATTAAATGAACAGCAGCGGTAAAAGCGCTGTTCGCTTTAATTCTGTTTTATAAAATGTGTGTAATGATTTTGTCACGTGATTTGATACATTACATCCTTCTTTTCCATTCAGTTTGTTTTCAATAACAACGTTAATAAAATATAATAGAGCATTTTATTGTATTTTTATATTGTACATCCACGGAAACATGATTATTTGCAATGGAAATAAGCTACATCTTTATCAACTGTATCTCATGTATTTTAATTAAGAAGACAAATGAAACAAAATAAAAAAGGGAATTAAGATTAATACATGTCAATACATTATTACAAAGAAAAACTCAAGTATGAGCAAAATGAATTACACTGAAAACGAGGGTGAACACATGTGCTCCAGAAGAATAATATCTGTTTTAGGAATAGATTATATTAGCTGTTTTTAGAAAAATCTTTCGGAATGTTGTGTCCTTTTCACCTTCAATTCGTACTTTATTTGGCCGTTTTAAAATTTTGATTCGAGCGTCTCTGATGAGTCTTATGTAGTCGAAACGCGCGTCTGGCGTACACAATTTTAATCCCTTTTATCTATGATGAGTTTATTTTCGCTGCATTGCTCATGACTTTAATAAAACATTGTGAAGAAGAAAAGGAGACAGGGACGTGACAATGGCAAATGAGACATTTCAATAATCAGCAATCAATATCTGTAATAGACATATATAGCTAATGATTCCGCTCTACCGGCGCTAGGGATCATTTAAAAATTGCAATGTGTGACTGTGGCATTAAAAGCAGTTCTGTTGCTATTTTCGTTAAGTACATGTAATGATTTTGTAGCATCAATTAATATTTATATACCTTTTTTCTGTAAACATGGTAATATGATTCTGAGACAGACAGCAATAATATTCTGCAAATGTGTGTTATATATCATGGTTCCTGTTTATGTCAGTTAATGTGATGTACAACATACGAAACAATCACACTGTATACATGTATCAAACTCCATGGTAAAATTTCAATCATCGATTCTAACTTGTAAATCTTGCGCACTTTGCTGTATTTATATTTTTCTATTACACTGCATGAAATTATTTAAATTCTGCATGTTCAGCACTATCCATTGGGAACCATTAACATTTAAGGATCCAATTAAATGTCAATAACAGAATTTCATAAAGCAGTGAATATTGAGTTGTATATCATTAGTAAATATCATGCAAAGAAAGCAGATATTTTCATATAATTTGAATTGTGTTTGAATAAAAGATAAATGTCGTCATTTTTATCTTTCATCTGGGCAATTTAACTATAACTAAAGTAAAGAGGAGTTAAAAACTCATATGATATTTGCACAGATTATTTAGTATGAGCGATCGGTAGTATGGGCGTTTGTTTAAGTGACAGTTTGGTATCCTACTCTAAGCAATAAATATCAATGCCGTTTTTGTTTTTGAACTAGAATTTTTATTTAAAAAAAATATATATCAAACTTAACATTAACGTTTAAATACCGAATTCAAAGACAAAAAGGAAAGCAAATTTTCATATGTTAAGAATGGCCAATGTTGAGATATAAAATTCATTTGAGCCTCGTTTCTGTCTCGCCTGCGACGAAAGTCACAGTATGCGAGATATAGGTATTACTATCCGGCGGCGTAAACTATTTGTATAAAGCTTTATATTTCAGAAAGTAGAAGACCTAGATGCTTCATATCTTGTATGCAGATACCTTATGTTACGAAGTTTCCGTCAACTATATGTTCATTGTCCTTGACCTCATTTTCATGGTTCAGCGACTGCTTGAAAAAAAATGAGTTTTTTTGTCATGTGAATTTCTCACTTATTATGAGAAATATGATAACTATATTTGGTATACGGGTTCCTTGCAACGTCTAGATGTCCGTCAGACAGAGTTCAACAGACCTAAACCTCATTTCATGGATCAGTGATCAAGGTTAAAGTTACATGATTAGGTCCGTTTCTCAAATACTATAAACAATAGATCAACTTTATTTGGTTTATGGAATGATTGTAAGGTGTACAAGTCTGTGTATCAGGTATCACATGACCTTGACCTCATTTTCATGGTGCATAGGTCAATGTTAAGCTTTTCTGTTTTTTTTCATTTTTCAAGTACCATAAGCAATAGGTGAACTTTATTTGGCGTATGTAATGTGTAAGGTGTACATGTCTGTCTGGCAGATATCATCTGACCTTGACCTCGTTTGTATGGTTCATTGGTCAATGTTAAGTTTTTGTGTTTTTGTCTGTTTTTCATGTACTATAAGCAATAGGTGAACTATATTTGATGTGTGGAATGATTGTAAGATGTACATGTCTGTCTCGCAGGTATCATCTGACCTTGACCTTATTTTTATGGTTCAATGGTCATTATAAAGTTTTTGTGTTTTGGTCTGTTTTTCAAATACTTATTGCAATATGTCAGCTATATTTGGTGTATGGAATAATTGTAAGGTGCACATGTCTGTCTGGCAGGTATAATCTAGCCTTGACCTCATTTTCATGGTTCATTGATAAATGTTACGTTTTTGTGTTTTGGTCTGTTTTGCAATTAGCATACGCAGTAGGTCAACCATATATGTCTTTCTGACACGATTTATCTGACCTTGACCTCATTGTCATAGATCTTTAAAAATGTTAAGTTGCTGTAATGCTTTTAGTAAAACCTTTATCTTTAAAATCAATGGTTAGTAAAGCAGGCGAGACATTTCAATGTGTGCACTCTTGTTTCAACTTGTTTCTGAAGCTTGTTCCACATCCGACACTGCAGGTATTTTTATATATTGGCCTAACAATTCTTTAAATTAATTTTAAAGAGCCACCAACAATCAAACAATTCCATATTTTGGTTTCAATTTTACATTAAACTTTCGATGTTTTCTAAAATCAAAATGTGTTTACAGTCACTGATTAAGCGAGCATGCCATTGTGTAAACTATTTTATAAAAAAAAATTATTTGATGCAATATTAGCCAAATGGATGGACTCACTTATAATGTCAGAGGATGTATGTGTGTGTGGTTTTTTTTATTCGCATAATGCACCTTAGAATAAAACAAATTATATTAGTAAAAAAAAATACATCTAAACCATTCACTGTCAATTCAAAATAATTGTATCTTAAGTTTTTTCAATAATATACGTAATTGTTAATTAACCAATACACTTTTAGGATTAAGGTAAAATCATACTACCTGTGTAAAAACTGTACATTATATTTAACTAAGCAAAAAGTAAAGGGAGAAACCTTTATCCAACATAACCACAACTCAGCTATATTCTATTATGACTTTGCCCAGGATTGCCAGTTTCCCAATCGAAGGCCTGATGCTCTCTTTAAACTGGCCATCATGTAATAGCCATGAGTGTATTATCATTCATTGTGGTATTTTCATTTTTATCTTCTAAAACAACATTCAATTTTTACTGATTACATTGTACAGTCCAGACCAGGACAAAATGAACCACGTTGACGAGGAAGTTGAGCTTTGCTTGCCAGGAGATAAAAAAATACCAACCTCTATCTGCAAATGTACCATATGGGTTGCTAACAAGGGAACAGGCTTCATTAGCAAGAAATTAAAACGGACTTTGGATTTGCTTTAAAAATACATTATGTTCAACCAAAATCTGTTTGATTTTAAAAAATAAACCTGTGCTACAATAACTCGCTGCTCAACAAAAGACAGAACACAAAAATTAACAAAATTACCCAAACTGTTGACACCATACTTACCCTTGAAATTTAAAAAAAGATGTAGGATTTTGTCGATCGCGCGGTTCTTTGAAAATTTAATTAATTTCTCTATAATACGGCGTCAACATATGACAATAAATTACAAATAATGACGTTGATTCAATGTTGTCAATTTATGTAGTCTGTTTGATAGTTACGTTGTGACACCATTTTCTGATTAACATCTAATATATTTTCTCTTTTTTTCAGATAACGTATCATCAATGTACTTTACAGGGATCATCAGATGTGTGGGTCACATTTTGCAGAATCAAACATGTTGGACAAAGCTAATTCATAAATCCAAATTAGTTTCGTATTTATATTATATTGTATTTTCGATGTTTAAAAAAAATAAAATGATGTACATATTAAACCATGTAAAAAAAAAAGGAAAACCTCATGACCGAAATAATAAGACGAACGAACAAACAAACCACACAACATGAAAAACTAAAATCAACTCTTAAAAACAATATATAGCCAGAAATTAGTAGTACTTTTGCTAATTAATATTCATTACATGTAAATGAGAATTGTACCACGTGATAATAGTTTGAACTGGACTGGCTTGACATCATTAAAATCTTAAAAACACGGATATTATAAGTTGCCCGTCACAGAGTCCTTGTTTATAATCACTCTGATATTTCCGTAAAGTTGTCTGGCGGTCAAAATCAAAACAATGAACGCGAATTTAATGAATTTTTCGTGTTTTCGTGATTTTATTTTTCTTGAAATATGGGCATTTTAACTTTACGTGGGAACCTAGAGTTCAACGACTACATATACAAGGTTTGGACTTGCTTATTCTTTGGACATTCAAGTTTCAAATTTCATCCCGGCAACTGTTTTTGTAATTACCTTGTTAGCCAGTTTTCAACACGAAGTTTGCAAATTTGACGTTTCAGCCATTTTAGCCTGTATTTTATACTGCAATGTTAAAAGCCTCTCGCTTCGATTTTTAAAATAGCTCAGGAACCTTGATTTTTGCAACGACAGTCATTATGTTTCGTTTAAATGGTGTATATTGTGTGTATATTTATTTTCTGTCCCGGCAACCTGTTTATCACTTAAATTAAAGTTAAAACAGACATTTTTGTCAGAATTCCCTATCATTTCAATATAATTTCCGTGACCCGTATCCGATTTTTTTAGTATAATATTCAAATAAGCAAAGTGGCGTTGATTTCTGGATATGATAAAAATAAGATGTGGTATGATTGTCAATAAGACAACTCTCCATCAGAGACCAAATGACGTAGAAGTTAGTCAATTATAGATCACTACACGACCTTCGACAATGAGTATCAATTTTACTGCCCCACGATGCGCATGTTGAATATTATTTAACTTAAGTGACACTCGAGGCCAAATCCAAAGCCTTATACAAACGTTTAAGAGCAGATATACATGTAAATGAAAAAAATCCTTAAAAGTAAAGTCGGACAAGAAATCAGAACTATAAACGATGGAGATGCATTCCTTAATTTTACATGATTTACTGATTTTTAAGTTATAACAGCACATTTCAATAAAAAAGTATCCGTATGTTTATGTCAGTACGATAGTACTTAGCTGCTATGCTGGGGATACCTTTTTGGACTTACAGCTTACAAGTAGATGTACCGACCCAGTGGTAGTATCAAAATTAAACGCTACCATTATTACTGAACCAGAAGGGTATTTGGACAACAAATGTCTCTTCAGTTATGCTTGAGGTCAAAATGTTTAAAAATCACAAAACTTATACAACCTTGGAGAGCAGAAAAAAACCGAACCAGAGTAATGGACGAGAGAGATACATAACTTAATTTCAAATGATTACATAACTTAATTTCAAATGAATTCCTACAAAGTTTTATAACAACAAATTTCAGTAACACAATATTCGTTTTTCCATGCCAGTATCGTAGCTGCAAACACGCGCATATCAGATAATTTGACAAATAAAATTGAGACTGGAAATAGGGAATGTGTCAAAGAGGCAACAATCCGAACGAAGAGCAGAAAACAGCCGAAGACAACCAATGGGTCTTCAACACAGCGAGAAAATCCCACACCCAGAGGCGGGCTTCAGATGGCCCCTGAACAATAATGTATACTAGTTGAGTGAAAATTGACGTCATACTAAACTCCAAAACGTTATAAATTAACTAAAATTAAAAAACATACAAGACTAACAAAGGCCAGAAATGTATACACCAAACAAGACTGATCCAACGAATGATCATTTAAGAAATGAAGAATAACAAAAGGAAAGAAAACGAAAAGAATAGTTGTCTTTCGAAGATTTCAAACTGAACTTTAAAAGGGATAACGATTGCATTTAATGTTAGACTTAGTAAGAATATAAACATTAAATGTAACACGAATCTGCCATTCAAATAACTGCAGATTTTTGTTGCGGATCTGCAATCTGCAGATCGTTGTTGAATATAATTTGTAAAATTTCTGACAAATTGCAGCTTAGCCATAAATTGCGATTTATAATGTAAAGGAACAAATTTGCCTTTAGAGGCCATTGAAAAGCAGTTTGCCTCCAATTGTTATGAGTTGAGTGGTACTGATTAATAAGCCTTATGTTGACGTAAGGCGCGTCTGTCAAATTAAACCTACTTGTAAGCCTGGTATATCCGGTACGTCTCTACAATCACTGGGTGGATGAAACTGGCGAGGCTAGTGAGATTAAAAGGGCGTCCTTCGTACCATGGAAGTATTATATTGACTTTTCATGTTACTTCCATGGTCGTACAAAGTCTTAGTGCAATATTTTGACATGCATATGTTATTGTTTCTTATTTTAATAAAAAATAAAATTGAGAATGGAGACGGGGAATGTGTCAAAGAGACAACAACCCGACCAAAGAGCAGAAAACAGCCCATGACACCAATGGGCTCTCAACACAGCAAGAAAAATCCCACACCCGGATGCAGGCTTCAGCTGGCCCCTAAATTGTAGAATAAGTAACAGAAGAAACTAAGCAAAATGACAATAATAACATCAAATAACAAAGGACTACTAGCAGCTACTGACATGCAAGCTCCAGACCTCAATTAAACTGATTGAACGGTTATGTCTTGATCATACAAGCACAATCCCTCCCTTTAGGGGTTTAGTATCATACCATCATAAAACATATGAGAAGAACATAACCTGTATCATTTCAACAACTGGTTTTAGAATAAATGTGTTTATTTACGATACAAAGACCCTATGAGTGAATCATATTAATTCCAAAAAATGCCATCTTTAATGACCTGACAACAGTATCGTAACAATATCCACTCTGAATAAATATGTTTAAAGGTTTGGTTAGCTCTTGAGGTGAATGACGACATTTTTGTTCTTTGTATAGAATATTACCATAAAATATTGGATGTGAAATACCTGAACGTATAAGATATCTACACGGTGATTTATATTTACGAATAGTGTGCTTGTACCGATGATCAAATTTGTTCAATGTTTTGACAAGTTTGTGATATCGAAAAACCCTAGTGTAATACTTTTTCTGGAACACAGCGATTTCTTTCGTTAAAATAAAATACGTTGTTACATACACGTATTGTAACAAAAAGAATCCGAATTATTGTATCAAACGAATGAACCACCATTTATTGTAATATGAAGTTGGTTGATATTTGCGTAATGTAACATGGTCTGCTTACTGTTCTTTTCCCTCAGACTCTCAACAGACGAACTACATCTGTGAGAGCTGGTTCTGATTTTTACATGTTCGGGGGAAACTAGCTGTGAACAATGCCTTTGATGATGTATGGCATTGCTGCCGATGTAAAGGCAGGCCGGGCGTTGTTGCCGATGTAGAGGCAGGCCGGGAACAACAACAGGAAAGAAAACCAAACTAGAACATCAAGAAACTCGCTATTAATTTAATAAGGTAAACATTGAAATAATTACAATATAATTTCAAAGTACGTAGTTTGAATGTCAAAATAAATTGAAAACAATAATAAAATACTACAAACAATTCAAATTAAATATCAAATAATAACAATAATAATTACTGTTAAATTCAACCTTTGAATTTAAATATTAGTTACTTATAAACTTTATTTATCTTTGTTTTTTCCAAAATAAAATTAAAAGAAAAATAATTTAAAATCTAAATTGTTTCCAAAATCAAGAGACTCACCTAGAACATCAAGAAACTCGCTATTAATATTATAGCGGCTTGATCAGTTTATATACTAATTTCTGAATATCCTAGTAACCCTTAACTGATTGCAACAAACAAAAGAATTTATGCTTTATGAGTTATAAATAAAGTTGCTGACGCAGGTTGACCGCTGTCTAACTTCTAAGACCTTATGTTAAACTCTGCCAGACATACAACTGGAGGTCAGTCTGGCATCAGCCGAAGTTTTATAGAACAGATATGTTTAATAGTTTATTAGAGTACTTATCTGACACATTTGAAACATTAAATCAAAGGAATAATTGTAACGTCATCTATATCCAAAATTTATGTCAAATATCTATCACAATATATCACTCTCCTTAGAAATTTTGGACTCCAAAATTTAATAAATAAAAAAATATATTTTAAAGAAATTGCATACAATTTTATGTTTACTATATTAATCTTAAAATGGATTTATAACTTTTAATTATTAACGTAAATAAATAATTAATATCCATATTAAACCTCAAAACAATATAGAAGACAAGCAATGTAGAAGATTGCGATGCAAAAAAAAATAAAGTATAGTATTTTGTTTTTGATTTTAAGCGATAAAAAATAACTTGAATTTATTTTTTTAAATATTTTTCTCTTTTTTTTTTCATTTTTGAGACTGCATGTTAATCATACTGTTTAATTGGTGGTTTTATTGTAATTTTTTATAAATCAATTGATGTCTATGGTGTTACAATATTTTGGTATTAATTTTAAATCGTTGTTCTTGAAAGTTTGTTACCCGCATGCTTACAATTGAACGTTTATTTTTACAGTTAATAAAATTTAATTAAAAATATATGCAAAGTGTTTTAAACAAAATGTTGCAAAAATATATGAAATATGAAAAGACTAGAATAAAACTTCAACAGAATTTGAATTGCTTACTTCAGTCTCTAAGTTACTGTTTAATCGTTTTTATGGCGTTCCTGCTTCTGAGGTTACCCATTATATTAAATATTTGTGGCGTCCCTGTTCCTGAGGTAGCCCTTTATGTTAAGTATTTGTGGCGTCCCTGCTCCTGAGGTAGCCCTTTATATTAAGTATTTGTGTGGCGTCCCTGCTATTCAGGTAGCCTATGCAATATGCTTGCATATATATATATATATATATATATATATATTAAATAATTATTACTTTGTACCGGTATTAGATTATCCAACAGTAAACGGCAACAAGAATTTGTCTAACTTGTTCCTAATAGGTAACTTACAAACAAGGATATTTACTTTATGTAACCCTTAATGAAGTTGAACCTAATCTTAAAGACGACTGATTGCAAATATTAATATTGACATGCGTTTGAAATACAAACATTCAGTTCTAATTAACATCATTCTGAAAAGTTATTCAAT